TCCATTAGAAGCGTTTATGGTATGTCACGTGAACTTTTAAAAAATTTTTCATTTTCCATTGAAAGGATTTCCATTGAAAATTTGAAATATAATATTTCCCGTGGACCCCCCCCCCCCCCAAACCGTATCTTTGCTGCACATCTAAGCTCCGCCCCCTTTTTTGCCACTATATATATATCAAAATCAATCAGTTGGAAGGCATTATAGGTGTTTGAAGTTATGAAAAGATGCAGACGGCTAGAGTGTTCTCGTTGTCTGCGCTCTCTCAATTCCCCACACTCTCTAGTAGTCCGAAATTTCAAATGGCTGTATCTCGGGTTGTAGACAAGCTAGAGATGTGATTTTTGAATAGGGATCTTTGTAGTTTTTTGGGGTAGAATAAACATAATAAAAATTAAAATAAAAATTAAAAAAAATAGAAAAATAGACGTAATGAAAAAGAAGCAAAAACTTAAATCTCTGAATAGGAAATATTTGGGTTGAAGATTTCCAACTCCATTGTGCCATTTAGACGGACTGGGCAGGTGCAAAGCAGCATTCGCAGCTCGTCGTCCGTGAAATTTGGCACTTCTTCTGAAAAATTGGATTTGTTTAATTATTTGCATTTTTTAGAAAATCTGAATCTCCAGCTAAATTCCTAAATTTCTGTGAAATTTCGTAGTTTCTAGCACTTCTAGAAGCCGAGATACAGCGGTTTGAAGTTTTGGAGAGAAGCAGACAGTTAGAGTGTCTCGTCGACGGCGCTCTCCTCCTTTTCCATACTCTCTGGCTCATAAAACTTCAAAGCGGTATATCTCGGCTCTTAGAAGTCCTAAGAATGTGGTTTTTTGACCAATTTGCTTCATTTTTTATGCTAGTTGTTATTCTTTGCAAGAATTGAAAATTGAATAAAATTCCGAAATTTCCGATGAATGTTTTTAAATAATTTTTTTTCAATTTTAGTAAATGTCCAGAAAGAGCATCAAAAACTGATAAAATCTGTCAAAAGTTGACTCTTCTAGCTCAACTGGAAGCCGAGATACAGCGGTTTGAAGTTTTGGAGAGAAGCAGACAGTTAGAGTGTCTCGTCGACGGCGCTCTCCTCCTTTTCCATACTCTCTGGCTTATAAAACTTCAAAGCGGTATATCTAGGCTCTTAAAAGTCCTAAGAATGTGGTTTTTTGACCAAATTGCTTCATTTTTTATGATAATTGTTATTCTTTGCAAGAATTGAAAATTGAATAAAATTCCGAAATTTCCGATGAATGTTTTTAAATAATTTTTTTTCAATTTAGTAAATGTTCAGAAAGAGCATCAAAAACTGATAAAATCTGTCAAAGGTTGTCTCTTCTAGCTCAACTGGAAGCCGAGATACAGTGCTTTGAAGTTTTAAAGGGACGCAGACAGTTAAAGTGTCTCGTCGTCTGCTCTCTCCCCCTTTCTCATACTCTCTTGCCACATTCAAAGCGTTGTATCTTGACTTCTAGAAGAGCTAGAAACTTGGTTTTTTCACAGTTCTTACCCCTATTTTCCGCAATTCGATCCTCCACAAATCCTTTCAAAATTTTCCGCTGGTCAATCGATGGACACTTGCAATCGAGCATCATATAGTGCTCGTTTTGGCCAATGTGCCGAATAAAAAAATCTTGGTCAATTGGCCATTCCTTATCAATGAGAGGTTGAATGGTGATAAGGACTAAGACGGCTGTGATAAGAATATGAGACATTTTTGGGGTGATTTTCTGAAATTTCAAGAATCTCAAAGTCAAAAATATAAAATCAATTTTCCTCAAAAACGCACTTGCTCTCTTTAGCTCCGCCCCTTTTTTGACCATCTAATTTAATAAAATAAAAGATTTTGCTGGGGAAAACAGGTCTATCTCGATGGGATGAAATTTTTCAAAGAAGCTGTCAATTACAAAAAAAATGCTCTAATTTTTTTTGCTAGAACTGTGAAAACGCCGGTTTCCCAGCTTATCTGGGGCCCGAGATACAACGCTTTGAAGTTAGCGAGCTAGAGAGGAAAGGAGGAGAGCGTAGACAGGGAGACACTCTAACTGTCTGCGTCTCTTCAAAACATCAAAGCGCTGTATCTCGGCTCTAAGATAAGCTAGAAACTTCAACTTTTTACAGAAAATTAGAGAATGAGATAGAGTTTCAGATTTTCTAAAAAATAAAAAAATTTAAAGTCTAGTTTTCAGAAAATTGTGGATAGAATAAGATTTATAAATATAATGTAATTGAGGTCCCGAGTAAATTGAATTGAAAGCGATAAGTTGGATTGAAGGTCGTTGAACAATAATGATCCTAATTTGATTTTCAGCACTCTCTGGAAAAATGTAAGAAAGGAATTTTGGAGAAAAATGGACTTTCAGGGGTTTCTGAAATACTGAAATTCTGAAAATTGAAAATCCAAGAAATTCAGAATTGTTGGTCCCTTTTCATATTTTGTCTTGAATTCTGACTGCGAAAATTTAAATTTCCGGGTTTTATATTTTTTTTTCTGATTGCTATGAGATATTTGGAACAACCGGAAAAAATGTAACATTTTATTATAATTTATTAGAATCTGAAGGGAAATTTTCATTTTGCAAAAATGGAATTTTTGAATTTTGGAATTTCGGAGAAAATCTAAATTTCCATCCAAATCTCTACATTTCTGTGAAAGTTTTAACCTTCTAGCACTTCTCGGATCTGAGATATGGCGCTTTGAAGTTTCGAAGAGACGCAGACAGTTAGAGTGTCCCGTCGTCTGCGCTCTCCTCCTTTTCCATACTCTCTGGCTCATAAAACTTCAAAGCGGTATATCTCGGCTCTTAGAAGTCCTAAGAATGTGGTTTTTTTGACCAAATTGCTCCATTTTTTATGAAAGTTGTTATTCACTGCGAATAAATTCAATTTTAAAACAATTTAACTATTTGAAAAATTTGTTTTTCCAATTTTTCTAACTTTAGTAATCTTTCAAAAAGAAAATCAAAAATTGACAAAGTCTGTCAAAGTTTGACTTTTCTAGCTCATCTGGAAGCCGAGATACAGTGCTTTGAAGTTTCGAAGAGACGCAGACAGTTAGAGTGCCTCGTTGTCTGCGCTCTCCCTCTTCCCCCCACTCTCTAGTTGTCTGAAACTTCAAATGGCCGTGTCTCGGGTTCCAGATAAGATAGAGATGTGATTTTTGGATGAGATTGTGTGTAATTTTTTGAAGATTTCTCATGAAATAATTTCTGGGATTTTTTTAATTTTTGAAATCTCCAGGATCTTGGAATCTCAAATAAAAAAATCCCAACCTAAATTTTTTATTTCCTCTATTTCTCAAAAATTTCATGAACTTTCAAATATGCACTGATGAATCACCCTGTTTACGCACTACCTTCCAAATTTTTCCGCTAATTATACCCTTCTTGGGATATTAACGCACCAATGAAAATATAATATTTTGGAAAGTGTGATCAGGTCACATGTGATCAGAAAATGCACGAAAACAAAAATTTGATGTTTCAAAGTAACACGAGCGTCTTAATAAGGGGAATGGAAATTCAAAGATTACTGTAGGTAGGGTTACTGTAGATAAAAAACGAGGAAATGACAGTAGAACGATTATTTTGTTGTTTTTACACGTTTTCGTTCAAAAAAGACACATTTTGAATTATAGACCAACTTTCTAGCTTATCTGGGAGCCGAGATACAGCTATTTGGAGTTTTGGACGACTAGAGCGCGTGTGGAAGCGCAGACGACGAGACACTCTGACTGTCTGCGTCTCTTCTAAACTTTAAAGCGCTGTATCTCGGTTTCTAGAGCAGCTATAGAGCTCAAAATTGAATAGAAATACATGTTTTTTGTCAGAAAATTAGGTATTCCTGAAGATCTATGAAAACGGAAAGTATGGAAATCTTGAATCTCGATATTTTGGAAATTTTGAAAAATTAGAAACGCAAATTCTGATACAAATTTTGCGCTAAAAACCAAGTTTCTGGGTCATCTGCGAGCCGAGATACGACATTTTGAAACTTGAGGAGCGAGAGAGCGAGAGAGGGCGCAGACAACAAGACACTCTAACAGTCTGCGTCTCTTCAAACCTGAATGACTGTATCTCGGGTTTCAGATGAGCTAGAACTCTCGTTTTCCTTGGAATATACTGTATTTCTTGTCTAATTTTTCTCAAACGTACTTATTCTTGGTGAATTTCAGCTTCAACTGCTCTAGAAGACGATTTCCCGGATTGCTATTGATACCGACGCCTCTGAGCAGAACGAGATGCTTCTGAAACTTTTTCGATGTGTCAGAAAACTCTTGGCGGGTGGTCCATTACCGTATTTGTTGCTTAATTCTTCCAAGCTTGCGATTTCCTCTTCCATTGTTGGAAATTTTCTATGAGCTATGTCAGGTATTCCAGAAGGTTCTTGAGCTTTTTGGCTATTTTTCTGGTCATCGGTTACGGTCTCTTGGGCCTGATCGTCAGCTGATTTTTCAGATGATGATTTCTTGAATTCTGAAGGGTCTGGCAGGTTTTCTGGAGGTCCTGATTCCAAAATTTGTCGATTTTTGACCGATTTTTGTCCCATTGAATAGCGAATGCCCGTTTCCAGAGCAAAGAGGAGCAATAGAGCTGCGATGGTGACTATTTTGATGTCAATGTCCAACATCTGAAATTAAGATTTTTTGGAATTTTCGAAAATTTGAAAATCAAAAGCTTGAATATAAAAATTCCGCCCGCCGCTTTTTGTACTTTTTATGCTCCGCCCCCCATTTTTTGGAGCACACTGAAGTGTATTCTGCTACTGAAAAAGACCAAAACAGAGTCATACATCAAAACATTCGAAAAAATGGGAAAAAAAATCTGAAAAAGATATATTAATTTGAAAAAAAATCTGGAAATCACAGAACAATACATAGAAATTGAGACACGAATTAAAAAAAAAGAGGTATTGGAATATTGAAAATTTGTATTAAATTTGAAAGATTTCTTTATTAGGAAACTGGAATCTCCATTGCTGACCGATTTGATGCTCAAGTTTGCAAGATGATGTCAATCTGGAATTTTGAACATTTGAAATTTTTTAGGATTTTTTAAAATTTGAAAAATACAAATTCTGAAACAAAGTTTGGTCTGAATACCAAGTTTCTAGCTCACCTAGAAGCCGAGATACAGCGCTTTGAAGTTGTGGGTCGAGAGTCTGTGTGAAGAGAAGAGAGCGCAGACAGCAAGACACTCTAACTGTCTGCGTCTCTTCTTAACTTCAAACGGCTATATTTCAGCTTCCAGGTAAGCTAGAATTCTCATTTTTCGCAAACGAATGTAGGTTTTCAATAATTTCAAAGAAATATACCTTCTATGGCCATGTTGCCCTGAAGTTGGACATAATAATCTGTTCGAGATCTAGTTTGGGAAGAATGTGGGGTTGCGGAACAGCTGAATTGGCTGTCAAGAAACCATAACTTTTACTGGATGGTTCTGAATCTTTTAGAGATGTTAAAAGATTCTAAAAAAATCCTACCGTGGGATTCTTCAACGGCTACATAGCTGCATTGGTCGAGTACTGGTCCAGCGGCTTCCATTTGAATTGGATGAGCAATGCCACATGATGTAGAAGGTTCTCGAGCTTTTTGACATGATCTCTTTTTTTCGATTACAAGATCTTGGGTCTGGTCCTGAGCTTTTTCGTTAACCTTGCCTTCCGGTGGTGATTTCAAAAGTTCAGATGCTTCTGACGTCCCATAATCTCCATAAAAAAGATCATGAATAATCTGTCCAACAGTAGAAAACACTTTTTGAATAATCAATTTTTCTGATGGATTGTAATGAGGACAACAGACTTCTCTCACGAGCTTCTTTGTGATTGAATGGGCAGAATCACAGGTGGAGGTGATGTCTGGAAATTGGTATAACTTGCTTCAAGCTCAATATTTTTGCGAAATTTTGATTTTGAATTGCAGATCTTAAAATTTCCCCTAAAATGATATAAAATTCACATTTTGAGAGTTTAGGCTAGTTCAGTGGGAGACACTAAACAAAACGCTCTCCAGTAGTACTACAAAAAGACTGCTTTGAGCATCAAGTCACAATGTTCTCAAGCTCATAACTCTCTTCAAATTCGATTCGCATTTTAGATTTTCGAAATATTCAAAGTTTAAAGAACTTTTGGATCGATTAGCACCTACCATACTTGCGACCGAGCCGTTGAAGGGCCCTTCGCGGGCCTCGCTATAGTTTCTTTCAGAGACAATATTTTCAGACCAACTCAATTAGACATGATAGAACTCGGCAAGTTCTACAAAATAATGCTATTTGGAGAACTGTATCTTGTCTATGAACAAAGTTACAAATCATAAAGTGGCCGGGCCTTTTCGCGTCGGCCCGAGCCGGTCCGAGACTCTGTTTTTTTTTGTTTGTAACTTTGTTCATAGACAAGACACAATTTTTAAAACAATATTATTTTGTAGTACTTGTCGAGTTTTATCATATCTAATTTGGTTGGTCTAAAAATATTTGTTTTAGACGAAACTATGGCAGATCCCGCGAAGGACCGGTCGCAAGTACGGAAGATCTACATTTTGCATTTTAGCTTTTATTTGAATATCAATTTTGAAAGAAGTTGTACTCACTTTCGATTCCCAACTGATCGCAGCGTCGACCACAGAGCACGTAGCTGTACACTATAATTCGGTTTTTGATTCTGGTCAATACCCAAGGATTTGAGGATGGGATAGGTGGAATTTCTTCTGAATCTAGAGACGTTGGAGATTCAGTGGATCCTTCAGCTGGCGTCGTTCCAGGTGGCTGCTGGTTTTCTCCAAAAACCAGCTGTGCGAATTTTTCGAAAAACGTTTTTCCAGAAGAAGATGATCCCAGGAGTTCAGAAAACGTCACCTCTTGTGGATCATCCTTCTTGGTTATCACAAACCCTTTGACTGGAGGATTTCTACGATCTGCTATCTCTTTTTGTCCCCTGGGATACCGATAACAAGTTTCTTCAATGAACAGATATATGAGAGCTGTGACCACGAATAATTTATTATCAAAATTGCATATCCATCTGAAGATGTTCATCTGAAGAAGAAAATTTTAGAAAAAAAAAATAATTTTGGAATCTTAAAAACCTTTAAAAATAACAAAAAAAGAATTACCTTTATTCACAGGGCATCGAGGAGTTGAGCTTGAGCTACACTGCCGTATAGTTTGTGAATCCATATTTGAGCCTATAACTAACGTATAATTTTGACTCCGCCCACTTTTTTAATGCGTCAACCATATAATTATCAACACCAGACGTATATAAACTTTAAACAAATGAGGATGAATGACGAAAACAATTTAATTGGAGTTACACTTTATTTTTGAGGAACTTCCGAATTTCTGAATTTCTGAATTTCTGAATTTCTGAATTTCCGAATTTCTGAATTTCTGAATTTCTGAATTTCTGAATTTCCGAATTTCTGAATTTCTGAATTTCTGAATTTCTGAATTTCTGAATTTCTGAATTTCTGAATTTCTGAATTTCTGAATTTCTGAATTTCTGAATTTCTGAATTTCTGAATTTCTGAATTTCTGAATTTCTGAATTTCTGAATTTCTGAATTTCTGAATTTCTGAATTTCTGAATTTCTGAATTTC